AAATTTCTAAATGGTTTATTAAACATTCTAAATTTGTATTGGTAGTACCATTTACACTGCAAACAAGAGTGAATGAATATTCTCATTTCTCCAAATACTCACCAGTATTACTATTGTCAGACAGTTCAAATGTTGTCAGTTTCCTGTGTGTGAAATGGTATTTTAGTTTAATACTTACTTCACTGATTATTACTAAGGTAAGCAACTTTTCATATTTATTGGCCCTTTATGTTTTTGCCTATTCATAAACTTGGCCTATTTTGAAGAGATGGGAGGCCAATTATATTTTTCATATTTATTTGAATAAATTTTGTTGATTCTGGATACTACTTCCCTTCTGTGACAAGTGTTGCCAATATTCTTCCCCACTCCATGGCTTGTTTTTACTTTTTGTTTATTGAGCCTTTCGTTGAGTAGAAATTTTAAATTTCCAGGTAGTAAATGAATTAAGATTTTTTTATGAATTGTATTTTCTGTATTTTATTTTAAAAATCTTTTCTTACTCTTCTAAACATTTTAACATTTGGCTTTAATTATCTAGGTTTTTAATCTATCCGAAGTAATTTTCTGAGTGATGTAACTTTGGAACACATTTCAATTACTTCTTAAGTAAGTAGCTGATTTTCCTACATCCATCCTGCTTATATATATATTGCTTCTAGATTTCTGGTGCTGAGGGTGGAGGCATGGGGGACAAAGAAGCAAAGTTCTAAGCTCTAGTCAAAGTAGAACAATCTTGCACATTCAGGTGCCATCAGACTTTTCTTCAAATTAAAGGACATACTCTGAAGCCACTGCCATGGATGGCAAAGGTCAGTCCTAGGGTAGAAAGTGACAATTCAGGAGTTTTGCCTGGGGCAAGGGTCAGATAAACCACATCAGTCTAGGACTGAGAGTTTAGTTTGTTTGTTTGACCAGGCTCAGTGTTCAAATGCTGGTGTGAAGAGTGCTCATGGGGACCGGAACAGTGGGGTGGGTGCAGAGGGGAGGAATCGCCCCTGTCCACGGGGAGCACATGAGGTCCTGGAGGAGTCTGCGCTAGGCAGTCAGTGACAGGACATGATTTTAGGGGGCGGTGTAGTCCCTTCCAATGTTCCCCAAAACCTTCAAGTCAGCTTTCTTTAGAATTACCCTTCTCAGTTATGCCACTGAAAAAATAGGTAAATCCTCCAAACCCATCCTTGGGTATAAACATTACAGGGTGAAAGCGGAGATACCGTCGTCTTTCCACCAGAGTGGGAAGAAATGACAGATGCCATCAGACAACCAATGATTCTGGTTGGAACAAGTCAATGACAAGGTCAGCTGCTGATATGCATGTATGTTGGCAAGATGGAGAGGTCAAAGTGGGAGAAACACAATGCCTTTTCTGGAACACATTTGAGATGTTGCCTTTGGAGATGCCCAGGACACACTTTGACAGTGGTCCTGGGGAGAGTTAGTGGTTAATTTTCAGTTGGAATCTGGTGCTATAAATGTGTCAGTTAAAAAAAATGAATTAAGGTCTTCCTTGATGGGGCCTGGATCTTAGAGATTAAAGTGCGAGAAGACTGAACAGATTTTCAGTCTGAGATGTACACAGGAAGATAAAAATAAAAATATAAGCAGAGATGCCAGAGATACTACCCATACTAGGAAATCTCAGACACTTCTTCTTGCTAAAGCTTTCCCTGCCCTCTCACCAGATCCATTCATAATCATTAATTAATTTCCACAATGACTGAACAACCATTTATTTATTTTCTGCTGTGTTCCTGAAACAGTGCTGGACAGACTGGGTCCAGAATTTGTGGAGCTTGAAGGGAGTAGAGAAGTTCTCATTAAAATAATGAATGAAACCAGGCACTGGGGCAGGAATGGAGGATGTGATCAAGAGTCCATCAAATGAGAACTGCCCCATGCAGTAAATTTAGAAATAAGTGTCAGTACAAAGCCTGAGAAAGATAAAATTATGTTTTGTAGAGGCATTTTAAAACATCAGCAACTCAGAAATACTTTTATTAAGCTCCACTAATATGAGCATTTTGGAATTCAATCATCTTACTTTTCTGGAAAATCCATTCATACAACATGCTTCTTTCCACAGGGGTAGCAGATAAAGGCAATGGTGTTGTGTGTCTGTGGGCACTTTACTATTGGTGGAGCCTGATCATCATATTGAATTCAGGTAAACTATTCTCTGTAAACAATGTGATGAAGGAGGGAAGGAGACCTATATGCGCTTATGGTTTTTTATTTATTTAGGTTTTCTCCATGTCAGAAATGTGTGTCACAGGGAGTCAGTTGTCAGCATCCTGCATTTTATTGTTTTCCAAAGAGAAAACCAGTGGTGTGTTCCACACAATTTGTTTTTATAGCCTGTTAAGCCATTAAACAACTACTTTTCAGCTTTTTCTGATTCAAAGTATACACAGCACAATGTTTTTTGTTTGTTTAAAGTATGAATCTGAGAGTTTGTGGAGAAGTGCTATGTGAGTCTGAAAAATCATACTATGTACCCACCCCTCTGGAGGCCTGGGATCTCTGTAGATTTTATAGCCTAATTAATAATTCTGCAGACAGTAAAAACCCTAGAGACCTCTTTTGCTTCTCTAAAATGGTTCTGATTTCTTATTCTGTCATGTGGATTGATGTTACATCTGAATTACAGGCTTACCTGGAAAGAAGATAGAGAATGGCAATGTAGGAATATGTAAATGTCTTTACAAATTTTGGTGCAAGTTTTCTTCTTTGAAGAGCACTTGGGACCAGACACATTGTATTCCAGTTGCATCATTCAGTGGATCATGTTCCTAGGTCTTCATCTTTATGATATTACCAAGAACTCCAAGGGAGGATGTAGAGTTCTAAGTAGCCATATGTACTTGTGTGTAGCAAGATATCTAATTTGTGTAACTCTGGGTTTATTTTTTTACTTTGTATACAATGACTTTAAGGATTTAATTCATTTTGGTTATCACTGATGCATATATCTATATATTACCAACTGCTCTATAGTCATAATGAGTTTTGTGTGTTGTTTCCAGCTAATAATTTAAGGCATTTGTTAATATAAGTTATTTTGATGTAATATTTTATACACTGTGTTGCTTCTGATTACACTTCATAAAATAAATTACTAAGGTTAAGCAAATACATACAATTAAGGATAATTTATCTTTACATATTAAATGACAAAGAAAATTATTCCTATTTTGCCTTTATACTTTTCTTGTTTTATTCTTGCCCATGTTTCTAAAAATACATAAAAGGCAAACATGAACTGTACAACAAGCCCAGTGGTTCACTGGTTCTCATGCCTCAGAGCACAGTAACAGTGAAGAGTAGCATCTTACAATATGGTGTGTTAAAATAAAAGTACCAAATCACATGTGCTTACTGTTAAAAAAGAAAAGGTTAGAAAAGCACAATTCTTTAAAGAAAATATCAGATGATCAGAAATCAAGATTCTTGCAGTGTTCTAGTCATTCCTATTATTGTTGAGTATGCAGAAGATTTGGCAGTTTCTTATAGAAAAAAAGGTAAACATAGTTTCTACTTAACATACTGTCAGGGACATAATATTATTTATTTCAAAAGCTTTCACACACACACACAAAGTCAAGCAATCCCATTTGCTTATTCCCAAAGATAATGCTGAGTTTATTTATATTTGAAAGGAAAGACTAAGTCCCGACTTTAATCCTCAATGTGTCTGAACTGTTTACCTTCTCTACTTCCATTGCCACAACCTGGTCAGCATGGTCATTATGTAGAGCCACCCCTCCCTAACTGCTCCCCCATTTAAATTGGACCCCAGGTATGCTTTTATGCACCAGCTTGATTTCTAAGTCCTTTTAATGCAAGTCCTCTTAAAGCCTCAATCTGAAATACATGGTTTTTCACAGTCTATTTTATGTTCCTTGTATGACTTAGCTCATTTACAAATTCAAGTAAGGAAGCACACTCATAATGTTGGGTACCACACTGGAAAATATTTTTAAATAATTGATATCTTTTTTTTTCATGCCATCCTGGGCTATATTGTGCCCCTCTCCCATGCCCAAAATTCATGTTGAAGTACTAACCCGCAGTACCTCAGAGTGAAATCGTATTTCAGTGAAGGTTAGGTCTTTAAAGAGTTAACTTACAATGAGGCCAGTAGGATGAGGCTCAATATAATATGACTGGTGTCCTTATGAGATAAAGGAGAGACACAAGGGGTGTGTGCACACAGAGAAAAGACCACGTGGGGACCTGATGAGAAGACAACCATCTTACAAAGGAAGAGAGGCCTTTGGAGAAACCAACCCTGCGGACACCCTGATCTCGAGAAAATAAATTTCTGTTATTCAAGCCACCCAGACTGTGGTATTTTGTTATGGCAGCCCTGGCAGGCTAATACACATGTACACATTTAATAGGTGTCAAAAGCAATTGGTAGCATTGTGAAAACACCACTTTGCCCTGACGTTAAATTCTTAATACAGAAAATGTAAGAGCCAATACAAAAATGGATTTTGAAGACATTCCCCCTCATGTCCTTTTCTCTGCTTCTCTAAAACCAGTTCAGCTAATCAGTTACCACTGAAATGTTCTCTGCTCTTCTAGGCCACTCTTGCTCCCTTCTCTGGAAATCTTGAGCACCAATTTCCCAGACTACTGGAAAAAATATATATTTAACATCAGAACCTTGTTCTCATTCTGAACTCTGTCTTTAAAACCAATGTTAGTATACCTGTCCATTTGAAATTGGCATAAAGGAAGGTAGACAGAGCCTACTTACCTATTTGTTCAATCCACCACATATCTTTCTGTTCCTTTCACATTCACTGTGACACCTGGGACCCCACCACATGAGACATGGGGTCACAATCCCTGAATTACATCACACTTTATTATTATCTTAAAATATCCTTATGAGACGATCTCTCATATTAGAACTGAGGCTATACCACATACTTTAAAAAGACACTTCCTATATTAGGATGATAGACAAAGAATTGAGCTAATAGCATGGCTTTGGGTACAATCTTTAAGTTGTTTATTAAATGAATTTGAATCACACAATTTTTCTGACTTAAACCAGAAACCTGCCTCCAGCTGAGAACCTAAGACGTGCCAGCCGCGGAGCGGGGCTCTGCTCGGAGCTGGTAGGGCGTGGGCTTCATGGCCAACCCATATGTGGGCTTCAGGTCCAGCTCGGCACCAGGGCATTTTTCCAGCTTGAGCTGTTGCAGAACTGTGACGATGAAAATGAATACCTCATTTCTTGCAACATCTTCTCCAAGACATTTCCGGATTCCCATTCCAAATATCAGGACCTTGTCAACAAGACTTTTATTCAGTTCCTTGTTTTCGTTTAGGAATCTCTCAGGACTAAATAAACTAGGATTATCCCAGATAGTTCTGTGTAAAATAGACAAAAGTTACATTTTAAAAAGAAACCATTTGATCATTTTGCCATTCTTGCCAACTTGTGCACAATAATTTTGTTTTTCATGAAATGCTTTGTTCAAGTTTGGAATATACTTTAGAAATTTTATATGATATGAATGTGTAAATACTCATACATATATACATATATGTATATATGAAATTATGTAGATATATCATCATTGTGAGTGTATGTATATAAAATTCTTTAATTTATTGGCATTTTTAGAAGCCATAAAGAGTTAGTACAATTATTTTTAGTTTTTACTAAAATGACTTCTGATTCATTAAATAGTGAATAAAATACTTGAAATTTATCTCAATTTTTTATTATGTTAAATGAAGAGTTCTACAAAATCCTCCTAGGGACATTCCAAACTTTTGGTATAAATAAAAGGAATAAATATTCAATCTCCTTTGCTTTCAACAAAATAAGCATACTTCTCACTCTGGTATAATTATATTAAGCAGAAAGTCTTCATACATCGTCACAGACAGCACCAGGTGACCAGAAAGCAGCTCTGGCTAAGGGGTTGTCCACAGTTCCAAACCTGTCCTGCATCTGGTTCTCTCTTCTCCTCCCACCTTTTGTTTCAGGCACCGAATCTAGCTTTTTCCTGACAACTCGTGCTAGCATGCTTCCAATACACCCTGAGGTGTATACTGGAGACCCACTTGACTTTACCAGGAACTGGACTTCTTTGTGTATCAATGTCATTCTCTTTCTAGGAGAATATTTGTTTTCTTTCTTCACCAAAGTCACAGGTTTGGAGATCTACAAGTTGTACTCAGTCTTTCAATAAATTTTGTTTTGTTCTCACAACATTTTAAAAGTAATTCATTGTCTCTAACACTTAAACATCAGAAGAGCCCATATAAAAATTTCCATTTCCAAGTTCTGTCTTACAACTGAAAGAGCTGACAATGTTGGAACAATGTCCTGCTTGCCTCCCGTTTCCTGCGCTGAATTACGCACAACAGATGACCCCTCCACACTGCTTCAACAAGGGCAATTCTCTCGTTTTTATATTTCCCACTGCTCAGGAGGTGCTTAAGTTAGTGACCTCTGTTTTACTAAATAGGAATAATTTCCCCATTATATCAGGTCTTGAATCACATACTCATTTACCTTAAATAAGTGCCTCTATACAAGCAGTATTTCTTTATAAGCACCTGTGTAAACACAGTTTATTTGAGCATTACTCAATATTCAATATAATCATACATTCTTAGGATACTAGAACACTTAAGACACTTGAGGTAGTGCTGAGAACAAATGCCATTAAGTTTACACTGACTATATTTTTCTTATAGTGAGTTTTTAAATGCTTAGTTTTATTCAGCATAATTGCAAATTGTGAAGAGTGGAAGTAACCTGGTTGGTGTGGCTCAGTGGATGGAGTGCCAGCCTGGGAAGCAAAGGTCACTGGTTTGATTCCCAGTCAGGGCACATGCCTGGGTTGTGGGCCAGGTCCACAGTAGGGGGCACAAAAGAGGCAACCACACATTGATGTTTCCCTCTCTTTCTCCTTCTCTTCTCCTATGTTTAAAAATAAATAAATAAAATCTTTAAAAAAAGAATGGAGGTATCAATCTTTCTGACAATAAATCTTGTGATGGGTCAGACTGTGCAGTGCATCCCACCATTTTGCTGGTTGTGAAGGTGCTGTTAGGTACACAGGACAATCACCTCTCTCCCAAACAGCCTGGAGCATGACACATTGGTCAGAGGAACAGCCCACTAAGTGCACAAGAATGCAATTTCTACCAGTTTCTTGGACACATTAACCTCTGGCAAGACCACATAGAGATTCAGTTTCTGTCAAACAGGATATACACACTGAATGTGAGTCCTGCTTTTGCTACTGACTGAACATGTGACCTTAGGTGATTTGTTTCACCTGGCTGAAAGTTTCTTCAGTTGTAAAATTGGTATCATGGTAGCACAGCTGCAGAGGATTATTGTTGAGGCTCAGAGGAGACACTTCAAGATTTTGTACCCAACAAAGTAGGGTCTATAAATATTAGCTGACATCATCATTATTCCTACCACCACTATCACCACTGCCATCATCCTCATGTTTACTGTGTGAGGTATTTTCATTCAGTCCTTCCCTTTATAGCTGATATGGATGAGACTCTAGTTATATTTTATTTGCAAATATTTGAGTGGCTACTATGTACCAGGCACTGCCCTAGGTGCTGAGATAGAGGAAAACCAAACAAAAAGAAAGAAATATACTCGGCTTGGTCTTTCATATTCTTTGGGGGGATTTCATGCTGCATTTCGAACATCAGTGGCCCTAACCCATGCAGAGGGTGAGCCCCAAAAGTCTTCGGTCCGTATCTCCCCCAGTAAGCCCACTTTTGAAATTGGATTTGCCTTGAATGAATCTCTATTAAGATATTATACTTTCCATTGTCAGTGAGGAGAGAAACCTGAATTTTCTTCCAATTTCTTTTAAGAGAAATAAAAGGAATGATGTTTAGTTAAGAGTGTGTATCTTCCACTATTTTATAAGTAACAAATAACCAAACAAACTTAACCCCAAGAAATGATTTTGGTGACTTACTCATCATGATTTACTTGATACATGTTAATAAAGGTGCACGTTTTCCTGGGAATAAAATAACCATTCAGGGTAGTATCTGCTGTGGTGCTAGGAAAGCAAAGTACATCATTATTATTTCAGTACATTCTGTGAATTTGAATAACCCATCTCTATTAATGTCTTTTAGAAACTATAGTGATATGAAATCTTTGTAAATCTTCATTGTTTCATTAACTAATACATCTTCCACCTATTGCCAAATTAGGAATGTATTCCTTTTCTTGCATTTGTAAAACATATGGAGCACTTAACATATTTAAGACATTGCTATGAGTGAAAATCTCAATGGAAAATTATCTCAATATTTCTATGACAAACTTGCCCATAAGTAGACACATCAAATTATAACAGGAAACTCTAATGAAATTATTACTTTCTGTGTGCCTTGTGTGTTTTGGCTTTTATCAATAGATTAAGAAAACAAAACATGACATCTTTTAGTACCTTGTAGAAGGAACAATGGAACTGGAACTAGAAAATCCGAACTCCAGACACTGTTCACAATTAACTATTGGGCAAACCTCATATCTGCTCTATAATTTCATTTTCTAGCTATGAAATAATATTGTTTGTGTTGGATGATCTCTAAGTTGTATTTAGAACAAATAATCTATTTTTCTAATCCCATACTCAAACTTCTTTATGCAAACTGTATACCTTTGTTTTTTATACCTCTTTAATTATGCATAGATTAGATTAAATCATGTTATATTCCCATGTGGCATTCCCTAACTTCCTAGCTGACCCCCCACACTCACTTCTGCCCCGAAGGAGCAGCAGGGACATTTCAATTTGATGAGTTTGAGAGAAGAATCTGAAAATACTTGGCTTAGCCATTTCTGCATTCTCTCATCTGATAAGCCAACCTGTAGAGAAGGTACATCTCATCTACCATCACTAATCAGATGAGCTTGGAGAAGCAGATTTCATACTTCCATAGGAGACTACTATTGTTTCAACTTGCTAGAGACTGAGTGGCAAAGTATGTCTAATTAAGGTGAGAAGTATAAGGAAGCCTACTTGACCCATCTCTAAGCCAAATTGTATGAACTGCCTCTGACCATTAGGAAAGCTCACGTTTGAATTTCTGTCTGATCTATGCTCATCTTGTAGCTAGTATTGAACTTTATAAAATTATATGGACATTAGTCATTGGGTACCCTGAAAATCCAATGAAGGTGATGCCAGGAAAGGAATGTATCAATTTTGGAGGAAAGATTACCTCCTTCTAAGCATGGTCACTTGCTTGTTTCAATATATCCTTGTCCACATGCTCTCTGTGTGTTCAGCTGCTCCAATTCTACTGTATGTCAAAAACTTCATGCTCCTATTTTATAGAAACTTAGCATATAAAACTTGATTTCATTTATTAAATATGAGTATTTTAAAGGAGAATTCAATATATACACACATTAATTGTAGGATTTTTCTCTCTCTCCATATATATTCCTGTAACTTTTGTATGAAAGTGCATTTCCACATAGCTATTAGGAAACATACATGTAATAAGTATTTATTATGGTACTATTTGGTCTTATGTAGTGTATGTTCATGTGTGTGTTGCAGGTAATAGCAAAATTTTTGTTCCTTTTATCAATGATTATTCCTTTTAGCTTCTTTTAATTCATTTTAACATATTTCCTGCTTTTTGATCCACATCTTTTTAAATAGAATACAGTAAAATTCCAGGTATAGTAAGATAATTTAGTCCCAAAGAACATGTATGTCTTTTACATGAGTGCAAAAATTCTTGTTTCAATATAACACTACTCTCATTGGTCAATGAATTGTTCTTTTATATACTATTTCTTCATTTTGAGTAATATAATGAACAGTTATGTTTTAAGATGAATTTTCCTCTCAGATATGTCCTCAGATGTGTTTTCCCAGCTCCAAAGTAAATGCTCACTGTCATTTAATTCAAATGGTGCCTGTCAATTTTGCAGAGCCTCTCTGTTCCTGATTATTTAGTAAAGCTTATAGGTCATACTCTTTTATAACTAACCCATGTCACCTTATGAAATCATTGGGACAGAAGAATGGCTTCTTTAAAAATAGGACCTGTTTTTAAAACCTAACCTGAAGATGAAATTTACTTCAAATAGAAAGTGGGTCTGCAGGACAGGGATCACTGTGAGTTAACAGCATTGCATATGAATATGGAAAACAAAATAAGGAGACACAATGCAGGGAAATGTGTTGCTCAGTGTCTGACCTTGACTCTGCTCAGCCAGTGGTCTGGCTTTTTTAGGACACCTCAGCTGAAGGCACCACCTCCTACTGCACCAATAATCACGATTACCTCAGCTTCCTGGAGTGAGAGACATTCCCACTCCCTCTCTGTTGAAAGGCTGGAAGCAAAAAAGCACTGAGATTTTTATTTTTTTATTTTAATTGTATGGAATGGAAATAGTTCAAAGTACCAGAACTTTGATTGCTCACATTTATATTTAATAAAGATTAATCTATACTGACATGCATTTGTGAGCTGGAGAGTCTGTAAGGTTCAGTAAACTTTCAAATATTTATAAATAGAAACTCTGTTTAATCTATTTGTGGTAACACTGGCCTCCTTAGTCGATTGACCAGCGGAATTCTAAGCTACTGAAAAAGACGCCTCATCAGCAGACAGCTAAGACTCTTCATAGGAAAAAGTTAAGTGAGTTTGTAAGACATTTCACAGCCCAAAATATATTATGGTTGTATTATCTATTCCCTGGAACTTCCATATCCTTTTCTCCCTTAATTAGTATATGTAAGATAAAAATTAATGGTATCAAAATTTAGTTATGAAAATAGTCACAAAATATGCTGTTGTGCTCTGTAAAAATTTCACTGGACAATTTCAAAATAAAATAAAATAAGATATAAAATAATGAAATAACACTAACATAACATATATTTTAAAAGATCTAAAGTATTCAAATGCCTTAGACTCCTCATTCCCCTCCACCCACCATTGACTGCTTTTCAAAAGAGAATCACAAGCTTACCAATGTGGAATAGTAAAAGGGATAAAGGAGGCATGTCTGAATATTTCATTTATGAAAGCTTCTGTGTAGGGTAAAACTTTCCTGTCTTCAAATCTGGGTGATTTAAGCCCAATGTTTCCATCTGAAAGAAAATGTTTTCTATTTAATAAGAAAAAATGACAATTATAAGGATTATATTTTTCATCTGAAAGCACATTACCAATTTCTTCTTGAATTCTAGTTTGAATTTCTGGATAGAATACCAAATAAAGAAAACTCCAATACAAACAAGTTGATACAGTTTCAAAACCTGAAAAAAAATGAGACAAAATATCATGGAGAAAATCAGCAAAATTGGTATTCTCATTTACTTCATATTCCAATACTATGAATCCAGGAAAAGAATCTAAATATAACTAATAATTAGTAAACTCACAGTAAAGTAATTACTATGTATTAAAGTTTGCTTCAGAATATAGGCTTAACTACTCATCCATTAGCATAGTCACTATCAATAGGACAGAAATCAGTAAGTGTTGGTGAAGATGTACAAAATTGGAATCTTTATGCATTGCTAGTTGATAGTTAAACTGGTGTAGTCACTATAGGAAACAGTATGAAAGTTTCTCAAAAAAATTAATGGGAATTATCATATAATCCAGAAATCTCACTTGTGTGTATAGCATATCCAAAATAATTAAAAACTGGGTCTCAAAGAGATATTTGCACACCCAAGTATGTTGCAGCAATATTCATAATAGCTAAGAGGTGAAAACAACCCCCATGTCCATTGATGGATGCATGGATAAACACAACATGGTATATACATGCAATAGAGTATTATGCAGTCTTAAAAAAGGAGATCCTGTCACGTGCTACAACATGTCTGAACTCAAAGACGTTATGTTAAATGAAATAAGTCAGTCACAAAAAGAAAAATACTATATGATTTCACTCATATGAGGTATCTAAAGTAGTCAAATAATAGAAACAGAAATTAAAAAAATAGTTGCTAGGGCTAGGGGAAAGAGACGAGATAATTGGTGTTTAACAGACATAGAGTTCAGTTTTGCAAGATGAAAAAAGACTAGAAACTTCGGGTGAAGATGGAGGTGTAGGTAAGCACTCTTTTCCTCCTTGCACAACTACAGAAAAATTACAACTAAACCTTAAAACAACACCCAGAACCATCAGAAAATCAAGCTGTGTGGAAGTCCAACAACCAAGGATTTAAAGAAGCTACATTCATCCAGATGGGTAGGAGGTATGGAGACATGGTGTGGCCTGGAGAGGCAGCAGAACATGCAGTCCCACAGTGACATATGGTGGATAAAAATCAGGAGGGATACATTGGGAGTGAGGGATCCGAGCCCTAGGCAAGACCACATAGCCTAGGTTTCCAGAGCCAGGAAGATGAATCCTCATAACTTAAATCCAGTGGAGGTGGGGGCAGTGGAAGAAACTGCCATATTTTCAGGAGACTCCATTTAAAGGGCCCTCATGGACTTATAAACTACATGAAACCACCCCCTCTGGGATTCAGCACCAGGGAAACAGCTGGAAGGGCACCAGTCACAAATGGGCAGTAAGTGAAGTCATTAGAAACAGGGTAAGTTCCAATCAAACCTCCAAAAGCCAGGCAGCAGTACTGTCCCCTCTCTAAGCTCTCCACCCACACAGAGCTACAAAGCAGTGAAGTAGGATACCAGTCCCTGGCAATTACCTAAGGCTTCACCCCACACAATTTACAGGTTGCCTTTTCTACAGTAGGCCACACTACAATAGGGAGTCACAGTAGCTCTACCTGATACACAGGAACAAACACAGAGACACTGCCAAATTGAAGAGACAAAGAAATATGCCCCAAATAAAAGAAAAGAACAAAACACCAGAAAAAGAACTAAATGAAATGGAGATAACCAACCTATCAGTTGCAGAGTTCAAAATACTGGTTATCAGGATGCTCAAAGAACTCATTGAGTATGGAAACAGCATAAAAAAGACCCAGGAAGAAATGAGGGTTACATTAAGTGAAATAAAGAAAAATCTATGGGGAACCAACAGTGGAGTGGATGAAGCCAAAATTCAAATCAATGATTTTGTACATAAGAAAGAAATAAGCATTCAACCAGAACAACAAGAAGAAAAATATTTTTTTAAAAATGAGGCCCCTGGGACATCTCCAAATGTACCAACATCTGAATCATAGGGGTGCCAGAAAGAGAAGGGGAAGAAATTAAAACCTTATTTGAAAAAATAATGAAAGAAAACGTTCCTAAATTGGTGAGGGAAATAGACATACAAGTCCAGGAAGCACAGAGAGTCCCAATCAAGTTGGACTCAAAGAGGACCACACCAATACACATCATAATTAAAATGTCAAAGGTTAAAGATAAACAAAGAATCTTAAAAGCAGCAAGAGAAAAGCAGAGAGTTACCTACAAAGGAGTTTCCATAAGAATTCCAGCTGATTTCTCAAAGGAAGCTTTGCAGGCTAGAAGGGACTAGCAAGAAGTATTCAAAGTGATGAAAAGCAAGGACCTACAACCTAGATTATTATAACCAGCAAAACTATCATTTAGAATGAAGGGGCAGATAAGGTGCTTCTCAGACAAGGTAAACCTAAGGGAGTTCATCATCACCAAGCCCATTATTACATAAAATGTTAAAGGGGCTTATTTTAAAAAAAGAGGAAAGTCAAAACTATGAACATTAAAATGGCAACGAATTCACAATTATCAAAAACAATTTAAAAGACAAACTATGCAAACAACCAGAATAGGAACAGAATCATAGATATGGAGATCATTTGGAGGGTTATTAGCTGGGAGGGGGAAGGGGAAGAAGAGGGGAAATGGTGCAGGGATTAAAAAGCATAAATGCAGCCTTGGCTGGCATAGCTCAGTGGATTGAGCATGGGCTGCGAACCAAAGTGTCGCAGGTTCAATTCCCAGTCAGGGTACATGACTGCATTGCAGGGCCACGACCCCCAGCAACCACACATTGATGTTTCTCCCTCTCTCTCTCTCTGTCTCTCTGTCTCTCTCTCTCTCCCCCTCCCTTCCTTCTCTAAAAATAAATAAATAAAATCTTTTAAAAAAGCATAATCGTTAGGCACAAAATAGACTGGGGGATGTTAAAAATAGTATAGGAAATGGAGAAACCAAAGAACTTAAAAGCATGACCTATGGACATTAACTAAGGGAGGGATTGCTAGAAAGGATGCTGGTACTGGTGGAGGGGGAAAAGGAAGAAAAATTGGGACAACTGTAGTAGCATAATCAACAAAACATATTTTAAAAAAAGAAAAAGAAAACAGACTAGAGATCTGTTACACAGCAATGTGAATATACATAATATCACTAAACTGTATACTTAAAAATGTCTAAGGTAGTAAATTTAATGTTTATGAGTTTAAAACCACAATAAAATAAATCAAAATTAAAAATATATAGTTATTATTTATGACAAGTAAAAACAATGGAAATATTTCATTATATATCATGTTAATAATTGCTATGATCTATGTAGTAATAATAATGATAATTTATAAGTGACCACTGATTACTCTGTTCCATGCTATATATCTATATATCTATACATCTATATAAGGTGTATATAATTATGCTTATTTTACTGAAGATAAAAATGTGCTTTAAAGACATTATGTGCCTTGTTGAAGGTGACTCAGAGAAGAGGCAGAGTCAGCACTTAAACTTGGACTTATCAGGATCAAAAAGCCCTATGTTTGAATTAGCATGGCACATAATAGAGGACTGAGTACATTCAATTTTTTAATACTAATTTTTAGTGTACCTGTTGTTATAGTTTAAAATTCATCCTTTGAATAGGGTATAATCACTTTTGAGATTACTTATACATTGACTAAATCCTTTTCATTATTGAAAACAAAAGCAAGAAAAAAGTCATGTCATTTTTTTTCTCAAGAGCAATTTTAACACTATGTCAAAAAAAATCACTTCTCAAAAACCTAACACTCAAAAATGCCACATTAAAAAGACTTTCTAGACTGTTTCAATTATGAATTCACCTCTATGATAACCAAATGTCAAAATTAATTATGGTATTTGTGTTTTCTACAAAATAAAATCTAGTAGCAAAATTAGTGTTTACATCAACATATCTTTTTTCATTTTTTCATTTTTTCTTATATTTTTTATTGTTATTATATTACAGTTGTTCCAATTTTTGCCCCTGTGCCCTCCTCCGCCCAGCATATCTTTTCCCCAGGTTTCTATGGTGATGATAACAATAATGACCGCAAACTTTAATCACTTAATTACATTGTTATTGAGATGGGGCTATAATTACTCACACTTTAAAGATGAGAAACTTGCAGCAAAGATATGGTTAAATATTTCACCAGGGCCACAAAGAGATAAAGCTAACACCCAAAATCAAGCTTCTGTGCTCTGGAGCATTGAGACTTAAACCATTTGTTTCTTCTCTAAACAACTTGTAACACAACATGAACAAGAAATACACCCAGATATAGCTGCAGGGCAGAGGAAACTCCATTCCAAGTTTCTCTTCTCAAGACCTGGTTTTCAGATCTCACCAAAAAACTACTCGACCTAATAAGTGTATTTGACAAAGCAGTGGGATATGAAGTCAATATTCAGATATCAAAGGCATTTTTGTACACCAACAATGAAATATCAGAAACAGAAGTCAGGGAAAAATCCCATTTGATATAGCAACAAGAAAAATAAAGTACCTAGGGATAAAGTTAAGCAAAGAGGTAAAAGATTTGTACTCAGAAAACTACACAACACTGAAGAAAGAAATTAAGGAAGACATAAATAAATGGAAGAATATACCATGTTCATGGATTGGAAGAATTCACATCATCAAAATGTCCATACCACCCAAAGCAATTTATAGATTCAAGGCAACCCCTATTAAAATACCAGTGACATATTTCACAGATATAGAACAAACATTTCAAAAATTTATATGGAACCATAAACAACCCTGAGTCGCAATGGCAATTTTGAGAAAGAAGAACAAAGTAGGAGGGATCACCATACCTGACATCAAACTATACTACAAGGCCACTGTAACCAAAACAGTCTGGTACTGGCATAAGAACAGACACATAGATCAATGAGACAGAATAGAGAGCCCAGAAATAAACCCATGTTTCTACGGTCAATTAATATGCAACAAAGGAGGAAGCAAAAAATGGAGTAAAAATAGCCTCCTTAACAAATGGTGTTGGGAAAGCTGGACAGCTACATGCAATAAAATGATATCTAACCACCAATTTACACCATGCACAAAAATAACTCAAGATAAAGACTTAAATATAAGTCACAACACTATAAAAGTCCTAGAGGAGAACATAGACAGGAAAATCTCACATATTCCACAGAGCAATATTTTCACTAATATGTCCCCTAGAGCAAGGGACATAAAGAAAAGAGTAAACAAATGGGACTTCATCAAAATAAAAAGCTTCTGCATGGCTAAATAAAACATCTGCAAAATGAATAGGGAACCAACTGAATGGGAAAATACATTTGCAAATGATACCTTGGACAAGGGTTTGATCTTCTAAATATATCAAGAACTCACATGACTCTACTCAAGGAAGACAAACAATCTGATTAAAAAATAGGCAAAGGACCTGAACAGACACTTCTCCAAGGACATACAGAGGGCCCAGAGACATATGAAAAGATGCTCAGCAGCACTAGCCATCAGAGAGATGCACATTAAAACCACCATGAGATATCACTTCATACCGGTCCAATGGTCATCATAAACAAATCAACAAATAAGTGCTAGAGAGGCTGTGGAGCAAAGGGAACCCTATTATATTGTTGGTGGAATGCAGATTGGTGCAGCCACTGTGAAAAACAGTATGGAATTTCCTCAAAAAACTGAAAACGGAACTGCCTTTTGGCCCAGCCATTCCACAGCTGGGAATGATCTTGACAGTTTTATGTATATCTGAAATACATTACCTCAACAAATCAAGATGAAAATAAAGCCCACTTGATGTGTTAATCACACCCACACACACCCAGTCTTTAGTATTCATGGAGTGCAGACTTTAAAAAATGATCCTCACAAAATGTAACAATAGCATTTAGCTTCAGATAGTTGTCAGAAGAAATGGTAAGTACAGAGTGATCACATCTGCATGATAAATAATGAGTGCATCCATAAATTTAAATGGTCACAATAATATACATATATATGTAGGTAGTGGGGGTGGGGGGAAGCAGTGGTATTCACATAGGAAAAATAATACAAATCAAAACAAATGCCTCTTGTTTGTGAAAAAAATTCAGGAACACAGATGCATAAATCCTAGAAAAAAAATGAATCAATTTGCCTATAAATATAGTATAAAGAAAAAAGGAAAAAATGAGTTTGAAGAATACTCCCCCTAAAATAAAACTGTGAAAACACCTTTAGTATTTTGATGTTTCCCTCCATCTTTCTCTCCATCCCTTCCTCTCTCACTAAAAATAAATACAATCTTTAAAAAAAGATCATGATAATATAAAAATAAATGGTAACACCTGACAATATAAAGCCTGCTTTACAAAAAATACCTAAAACAAAAAAAAACCTTTTAAACAGATAAAGAATAAATGTCAACAGGTTGAGAGTGGGATGAAGGGATGCAGAGTAATAAACAAACGAGGACAGGCATTTCATGAACAATGATGTTAATGCAGATGGAGACCATAATTAACTCAATTCTCTACTCCTGAGATGAAAATAAAGTTTTCTAAATGACATGGGAAGAAGGCAGATTGTTAAATTGTTAAATCAGAGTGAGATAACTACACAAAATGGCTGAGATCATAAAAGTGAAATACTCTAAACTGTAAACTGTAGAACATAAAAATAGCAATTAATTCTTATTTCCCTTACATTTCGAGAAATACTTTCACATACCAGCTCCGAAGATGTCATTCACAGTGCTTATGATTTCATCATCATTTAAAGTGGCTGTTTTGGTAGTGGCATATTTGTTGTGGCATGTACTAATCAGAGCATCAGTAATGTCTCGCATATGGTCCTGAGGAGACAAATCTGAGTATGATTACTGATCCCTATTTACATTTTATGTCATATGTGAATCTCACGCACCATGTCATATAAAATGAACTCAATTTGCCTAGGAATGTGAAGACTATAGTAGATCATTTTAAAACTTACAGCCAATTTTGTTTGTCAAATTTTATGCTCAATGTTAAAAGAATGTAAAATAGAAAACCAAGAGAGCAAACTCAATTTTCTTTTTAAAGTTTCTTTCAATCAATAAGAAAGTTCCTATGGCTGGAAGCATAGTTGAAAAAAATTAGAGATTAGCTTACCATGTAGACATTGCTGGGTAATGAACATAAGCAGAGGTTTCCAAAGCCATTGTAAGAATTTTACTGTAATCAGCATGCAGAAAGAGATGAGGATGAAGTAGGTTAGGGAGTAGGAAGAAAAACCTAGGACTTTATGAATTCGTTTACTTATTGTATTTGTTCTAACATTCCTGAATGGTACCTTGAAACAGATTGTTTATTGTCTCTTCTTTTTCATTGCAAGGGACTTAACTCCTTACAGCTCTTCATTTGCTCAGTTATCCATCTTTTCTTTTTTATTTTTTCATGATGTTATGATCTCAGCAAACTGGCCTTCAACAGCTACTATTCTTTATAGTACATACATATTTCAAGCGAGAAATTTACTCTTCTGTGGACCATAAAAAATGGACCAAAAACATCACAGTGGCCTCACAGAAAGGTCTATTTTTGTCACCTGAAGTAACTTCTCAAAGTTTATTTCTATATAGTAAAGGGACTCAAGTAGAAAAAAAGGGTAAATTGGAAGCACCCTATACAATTTTTTTTGTAATTATTCAAAACACTTTCTGAAAAAAAATGCTGACACTTTTAAAACCTCATAGTCTCAGATGTGAAATGGAAGAGAAAGAAATCAGTGGCCGATTTTTTCAAAGAGCTTACCTACATGGTAATTATTCATCAGCCAACTGCAGATTCACAATTCAAATATGTACTTTAGCACACACCAGAGAAATTTCTGAGGTTCCAAAGAATTCAGAACTCTTCTTAGAGTCCCTATATTAGAACTAAGTAATACTGCCCTATAAGCTCACTGACTGAAACTCACATTTCCTAATAGTTTGTGTCAGTCATTATGGCAAAATTATAGTGAAAAGAACCAAGGACTAATATATACAACTTCCTGGGCACTCAACACATCTCATCATTATCTTTTGCTTCTTACCAAATCCCTTGCCCTGGTATGAATTTAAATCCTACCTTATCATATGTAGTAAGATGATCTTGTACATGTTGTGCAACAAACTGATTGAAGGCCCGATAAAACTTTTGAGGAGCATTTATAATCTGGAGTGGAAGGTAGCGAAAACATGGTATGAAATCGGCAGGATTAGCTGCACTTGAGGCCTTGAGTAAGTCGTCATTAGTTTTAACTATCCTAAGAAACTCCTTGTCGCCATGGTCATATCTCTTGCCAAAGCAAAGGGCACAGACAATGTTGGCTACTGCACACGTGATGGCATTTCTGGGATCAAAGCTGCCATTCTTAGAAGTCAGCTCTGCAAAGACTTTAACCAGCTCAGCAGCTTCCTTGGTGACATGTTCCTCAAGTAAGCAAGAGCAAGTGGAGGATTTTGCTTCTGCTTTAGAGAAAGTTCGTAAAGCATTAGAGGCTATTTTCTTATGAAGCTTCCAACTCTCACCATAATTGACAGAAAATGAAAGACTCTTTCCTTCTGCCAGGAAAGAAAATGTGTGCATGTTAGGTCTGCCTGCAAAATGCTCTCCATTCTTGAGTAGTACTTGCTTCACCATTTCCATTCCATTCACTACCAGGACAGGCACCATGCCAAGTTTGATGAGAAAAACATCTCCATATTTCTTCCTCATCTCTATGAATGTAAGGTAAGGATGGTCTCCAAGCTGAAGAAGATTTCCTATGATGGGGAAGGACCATGGGCCAGGAGGAGACACCTGCTTTCTCCCCTTACTCCCGAGTACTCTCACAAAAATAAAAACCATCACCAAAATTATGAGAGAAGTGGTCACCTCTCCAGGAGCTATTGCCATGTCAAGTATCATTTTCAGGAATAAAGCACCTAAAATAAAAAATATATATAAACCTTATTTTTACCACTCTAAGCAGAGACTAAGAGCCTTTCTCCCTTTACATTTAAATGAAAAGTACAGACTCTTTGTAGTTAGTTGAGAACTATTCTTAACCAATGTACCAAGAGGACAAAATCACATTCTTATAAAATGCATTGTACCTTTATTCCAATTCTATTATTTTCACAATTCTAAACACCGGACCAAATTGTTTCATGTCACTCATTGATACAATAGACAGACGAAGACAATTTTTATGTAGAAAGCACCTTTGTGGTTGGGAAGGAGCTTAAGGCCATAGACGCTAATTTCATACTCATTATTAGCCAAGGATCTTCATCTTGTCACTTAATCTAAGTTCATCCCAGTTTCCTTATGAAAGTATCCTATCTGACAGGATTAGTCATTCATTCTTTCAACAAATATTGATTGACTTTCCCACCCCATGTCAGGCACTAAAAAATATAAAATTTCACAGACTCAAGAGGAAAATAGATAAACAACCATACAATTACAAAGTGGAAAATGCTATAGAGAGTTGAGTACAGAGCCATCTGTCATTGATTAAGGATCAAAATAAATCATTAAGAAGTACTTAGTGAATAATAGCTATTTAGTGAATATCTAATTGTTTGTCTGCCTAACCTGTCCTTACACTTCCCAAGCCTCTTAAAAGGGTGACCTACTGAAGCTACATATCCTTCTGCTCCATAACTTGCTCTTGTAGCCATGGGTGATTGATCCAAGAATGGGCCACTGACCCAAAATGAACTTTCCTTAGGAAGATGGAATTGGAACTGTGAAAGATCATCTCCTCTTTGGGCAGCTGTATCTACAAAATCTAAGTTTGAAGATATGATTTGGGGACCTTTAACCCATCGGAAGGACATGAGAAACTGTGAAAGCAGGTCTGAAAAATAAATGAAATAGAAAGGAAAAAAAAATAGACTGAGGGAGGCCTCCTGACCTTGCATTCACTACTTCTAGTACCTTCATGCGATCTAGTCCTTGGACTGAATTCATTCCTGCTTAAACTAACTATAATTTGTTTCCATTACTCACATCAAAGAGGGACCTAACAAAAAAATAAAGTTTCATATACATGCAGAATACATTTGTTACTCATTTTATTTTATAGTAACTACAGAGGGAATAAAAAAACATTCCTTTAAAAGCATACATAACTAAACTGTTCACATTATTCAAATTATTTACAGGACAAATAACATTGGGAGGCATTAGAATCGTTCACCAGTGTAAATGTCCAGTTCTCACTTGATTTATTCTAGACATTTTAAATAAATAAACAAGCAAACCCTTGTCACCTGTCTTACCTGATTGCTTCACTTTTCTAAGTTCACAGATAAAATGTGGCTAACTGCACCAACTTGGTTGGTACTGGTTGCTAAACACTGAACTTTGGAATTAAAAGTGAGAAGTCAACATTTGTATGGAAAAAAAGAACCTGAATACACATTTAAATTAAAAAGAAAAACAGTCCTTAATCAATGCAACAGCTACAACTTGCAAAACTTTCATTTTCTCTCTGTTCACGAAGGAAACAGTGGGGGCCTCATTGTGTTTCTGCTTTGCAGCATGCTGATTTTGCAAAACATTTTCCATTAAAAATAACTATGACCTTGTACTGCCCACTTACCATGTGTCCGATCTAGAACCAAACATTAAATCTGCACTGTCTTTTAAAACTCGCTCTTCTAAGAGAATTACAGAGAAGCTTAGAGAGAGAGTCATTTTCCCCATTTACTTCCCATGTTTTTTCAGCTGAATAACGAAGCATCAATAACCTTTGGCACTTTTATTTTTTTACAAAATTTAATTTCTCTTGGGCATTCACCAAATTGCTAGTTTGCACATTGAGAATCATCAGTGGCATTTCCAAAGCAGGATACTAAATAGGTGAGAAGCAGGTGTATGGGAAAGAACTTCGGGGACTCATAAGGATGACTGGGTTTCCTAACTCCCTCCTGCCCTGTTCAGCTGTGAGACTTCTGCTAAATCACATCTGCCTTCGCCTCATTTTCCTCGTCTGTAAAATGACCACTTCGCACTGGAAGACTTTGAAGACCAGCTGCAGTCTTCAGTGATCAAAGCTAGCAGGGAAAACGGGGCAGAAGCACCAGTGTGACACATGGGGTTAATTGCCCAGAAACATTATGTTGCCAGAGTTTCCAGGGCAGTTTACAGTTCATCAACAAATGTAAGTAACTGCGATCACCGTCAATTCTTGTTCAGCCTGGGTTCTTCTAGCTTCATTTATTAAAATCTCATTGGCTGCTTTCCAGGGCCAGACGTATTGCCAGCTTTCCCAGCAGCTTTCTTGGAAAGCTCTAAAGGTACACTCTGTTCCTGTGTTGGGGGGAATTAGGGCTGAGGGCAGGGAGTAAAAGGTCCCCTAAGGGTGGGCTGCTGCATCGTCGTCAAAGATTCCAAGGGAACTCTAGATACCAGCCAGGTAAGAAGAGCATGCATAGGTTGGGGGATTTTGTACTGATCTTCAAACGTAGACACACATTATACGCCTCCCCCGCCCCCGCTCCAAGCTGGTTAAACCGTTGCAATGATCACATCCCGCACAGACAATTACATCCGAATCTCTAGGGATGGATACATTTTTTAAAAGCTCCTCAATATGACTAAGAGGAATTCCAAGTTGAAGACCTTTTTGGAGGAATAGCAACCTGTATGAGATCAACAAATCCATTCATCCCAATTTCAGTGAAGCTCGGGAAGCTCACCTGTGCCCAGAAATCTTGCAGGTCAGTGCGAGGAATCTGCAGAAGGATCTAACGACTAATAAAGTTTTGGAGAAAGACGAAGGTATCCTAGGAAACAGAGCAATCTGTTCACAGCGGCAGCAGGCCTCGGGAAAGGCTGGGAGAAAACTTTCCAGTAAGAGACCCGGGAGGGGAGGACCTTGGACCCATGTGGGGAGGAGTCTGGAACTGGATTAGGACGTTTGAGAGCTAAAGGGAGGGATGAAGAAGCCTCAGCAGCCAAAATTGGGCCCAGGAAGCTGGGAAACTCCAGCGTGAATGGAAGGAGAGGGACAGATGGAGCAAGGGGTCCTGACAAAAAGAGGACAGAAATTGATATTGGAAAAAAGCAGGGCAGGAGAGGGTGGTTGGGAAGACTAATAATTTTTAAATTGCTTGTGACAAGCAGAGGTAGTTTTAGAAGGCAGCAAAGAAATGGGGAGGAAAAATAGGATTGTACAGAGGCATTGCTTTGCTGCGAGTTTCAGAAAACCAGGAGAATGCACCACACCCTAGACAAGGAGTTGGGGATTAGGGGACGGGGGAGGGGTGGAGCGGAGATGCGTGGAATTAAACATCTAGGAAACAGGTTTCTCGGGTGGATTTGGCAGATTCCTTGGGGAGTTTCACCATCCTGACAGATTTGTATTTCCACAACTAAAATAGTCAACTTCTGAGGATATTTATAGTTTTGATTTAAGAATGTATTCTCACCTACATCAGGGTACTTTTTCTACCTGAAGTCTCCTTTCTCTACCTGTTACTAGGTAAACGATGCATGGTTTGGGGATATCTTCCTGTCAAGATGTCTGCAACTTATTATATAACAAACTTTAAAAAAAAATTTAGAGTCTTTGGCTCAGAAAATATTTGAGGTTTCAAGGTCAGTTTTGAATGAGAATATCCAAGAATGATCCCTGGTAGTCAGTATGTTCTCACATAGGGAAGAAAGCAAATCCCCAAAGTGAATGCTAAAGATAATGTATTTGCTAAAGCAAAAATTTTCAGGCCCCAAGCTTTAGTGTCAAACTCACACACACAAAAAAATAGATTTCTCAATATCTAGACTCTAAAAATTCAAAAAAATATGGCAAAGGCCTCAAACCATGGAAAGTTTTTGACCCATTAGCAGTACTTACGCTAATAATCATCTCATACCTAGCTACCGAAAAAAATATTCCTAATGTTTTTCCATAAAGTATTCCCTTCTCTAATATAACTAACCCCACATTGGACTAAAGTATAGATACTATGCAGCCATAGCAGAAACTTTGTGCAAGTACCCATAATTTAGACTGCTGGTAATAATTGCTTGATAATGTGTTATTTGGAAGCTTTGATGGAAGATAATGAGAATTGCCTTGGACTGAATGGCCAGGGATGGTGTATTAGTTTCCTAGGGATGCTGTAATAAATTTCCACAAACTTGGTGGGTTACAATGACAAAAATATATTAACTCTCTGTCTGAAGACCAAAAGGCTGAAATCAAGGTGTTAGCAGGGCCTTGCTCCTTCTAAAAGCTGACTTTTCCACCTCTTGGTGGCACCAGGTGTTCCTTGGCTTGTGGCTGCCTATACTAGACAGGCACTGCTATCATCCCTGGCTGTCTTCACATGGTCTTCTCCTTTTCTCCTAGTCTTCCCTGTCTTTTATAGGGATGCCTGTCATTAGATTTAGGGCTCAACTGGATAATCTAGAATGATCGCCAATGAAAATCCTTACCTTAATTACATTTGCAATGATCCTTTTGTCAAATAAGGTCACGGTTACAGGGTCTGGAGTGTAGACATGTCTTTTTGGAGGCCACCATGCAACCAATTACAGGTGTGATATCACATTCACTACCATTACCCTATAGTGAAGAATTGAACTCAGGTCATTCAGATTCTATTATCCTTTTTGTTTTTTCTTCTGTGGGAAGTAGTTTAGCAGGGTCTCCATTTCTCCTGGGTTCCAATACAAGCTCTGTTATTTTGTAGGTTCATGTATCTGAACATGTTAATAAATCCTTCTCTACCTCAGTAATCCATCTCAGTAAAATGAGGACTTCTTGCAGTACCTATCTCAGCAGTTAGTTAAAAGAATGATTTAATATCTGTAAAACACTTAATATTTGGCATACAATAATTATTTGAAAAAAGCAATAGCTTCAGTTTATAGAAAAGGAATGTTATACTCATAGGGGTGTATAGGGGACAGGGTGCTTAGTGGAGAAGGTGATATTTAAAATAAGTTACAAAGCATACATGGGAAGAGATGCTAAGCAGAGAAGAACATTTGAAAAAGTAAAGAGGTTTTAAAAAATAGCTTTGCATGGTTAGGAAACAAAGTGAGTAGAAGATGAGCCTACAAAAATGTTCCTAGTGGCTTGGCCCAGTGGATTCAGCCACTTACATAATTTTCACTGTCCTGGCATCTTTATTCAGAATTGCCATTACCTGGAGCTGGTCCCCATTAAATTGTTCCTGGGCTATTTTTCATATTAGTTAAGATTGCATTCACAGCCATGATGAGCAACAACATTTAAATGGCTTAACTAAAGAGTGTTTATATTTCTTACACAGCAAAATATCTCAAGGTAAGTGGCTGCTTCCATTGGTTCAGCAGCTCTGTGACAGTTAAAATGATATTTCTACCACCCTTTGCTCCTTTCCCTTTGGCTGCTACATGACTACTGCAGCTGTATCCATCACATCCATAGCAGAATAAGAAGGGGGAAATAGCATGTCAGCCACATCTGCACTATTCTATTATTCAAGAGACCATAAGTTTCCCAGAAACCACCAGCAGAAATGTGCTTAAGCCTCATTACTATCACAGAAGATGAGAAAGCATTTAGGTTGGCATGCATTTGCTGCAAAGGAAAGAAGGCCTAACTCTGGCTGGTGTGGCTCAGTGGATTGAGCGCTGGCCTGTGAACCAAAGGATTATCTGTTTGATTCCCAGTCAGGGCACATGCCTGGGTTGCAGGTCAGGTCCCCAGTAGGGGGTGCACGAGAGGCAATCACACATTGATGTTTTTTCCCTCTCTTTCTCCCTTCCTTAATCTCTCTCTAAAAATAAATAAATAAAATCTTTAAAATAAAAAGAAGGCTTAATTAGTAAGACAAAGAGGTAGACTGGATATTGGGAGTACAATTAACATTGTCTGCCACACATTGTACCTAGTGGTCTTGTCTCTGGTCTCTCCCCCAAGGCATGCTCAATTCTGACAGTCTAATCAGCTTTCAAATAGATGAATCTGATTATATTACTTTACTAACTTTCAGTCAGCATGCAGAGTACATTGCATGTCATTCAATAGCATCTGTGACTGACTTATTTGCCTTTTCAGTGTTATCTGTTGCTATTCTGCTCTCTTATATATTTGTAACATATCTGCTTCAATTCTCTCTCCCTTCTCTTAGTCACTGTGTACCTAGGATTGTGTCTGGAAATAGGAGATGCTCACTACAGATGTGCAGTATGAATGAAAGACTTCCTCATACACGCAGAGTTTTATCCTGCTTCTATACTTTAGTTTCTACTGTTCTCTTTGCCTGGTGTGCCATTACACTTTACATTGTAGAACTGAAAATGCTAATTTAATCCACAGGATATATGATTCCATGAAACCTAATCTTGCTTGCTCTCTTTTCCCTTTTCTGTCTGTTGCAGTGGGTACTGGGGTGCCTTGCCAAGATCTGCAGTTCAGAATTAATGCACACATCTTGACAATTGTTGAGAATTTCTGCTACTGATAGCTCTCAACCCCTGAAATTTATGCCTTTAGTTTCAAAAAGTCACCTAGCTCGAGACATCCTTTTTTCCTGGGGTGGCCTGCAGTATGATTGACTGGTGCACAGAAAGAGGAGCCCTGCTGTGTTGGCTCAATTTGGAATGAAGGCTCATTCTAGTTCCATTGTTCCCCAGAGGATCAACTGAGACTGTGGTTGCAAGAGCATCTGTATTGTGGATCAACTTCCTATTTTGCCCCAATCTGCTTTCCCTACTTCCTAACCAAGGTCTGTTCTGATTGACCAGCTCAGCAAAACTTTGATAGAGAAATTTCCATTCAGAACAAATTTCCAGGGAATCTAGTCAAAAACAGCTCTATTGGTATTGTGACAACCTGTCTATAGTCTTTTGGCCAATGCTGGCCATGTAGGGATGTTTAGCATCTTCATAAACAGACTGTCTCCTGCAGTCAGCTCTGCCATGCAAGTCTGAATGGCCACCATGCCAGAAGGATTATTTGTCTTGCTTTCAAAGAGAGGAAGAAAGATTTTCTAGGAAAGTACTATTAGGAAGACTTGTCACCTCCAAAAAACTAGACACTTAATTTTATGTTTCTCCTTTTACGTTTTTTATGTTTTTATTAAGCATATTTTATTGATTATGACATTATAGTTTTCTCATTTTCCCATTTGACCCCCTCACCCACTACCCCCTCTCCCTCCAGCAGTCCCACCCTTATTTCATGTCCATGGATCATACATATGAGTTCTGTGGCTTCTCCATTTCCTATATTATTTTTAACACACCCTTGTCTATTTTGTACCTACCAATTATGCTTCTTACTCCCTGTATCTTTTCCCCTATTCTCCCCCTTCCCTCTCCCCATGGTAACGCTCCATGTGATCTCCATTTTTGTGATTCTGTTCCTGTTCTGGTTATTTGCTTTATTAGTTTTTGGGGGTTTTTTTTAGGTTCTGTCTGTTGATAGTTGTGAGTTTGTTGTCATTTTACTATTCATAGTTTTGATTCTCTTCTTTTTCTTAAATAAATCCCTTTAACATTTCATATAATAAGGACTTAATGATGATGAACTACTTTAGCTTTACCTTGTCTGGGAAGCACTTTATCTGCCTTTCAATTCTAAATTGTCAAAATGATCATTAAACACAAATGTCTTTATCCATACAGATGACTTACATTAATTTTAATGTTGACCTTCCTTCTGATCATACCCAAAAACACACAAGCTCACCACACACATAAATACCTACCTATATATACACACAACAATGTTCTTGACAGTGAGTAGGAAGTCTCCAGGAAGTCTCAAATATAGGCCACCTACATTGGCCCATTCTCAAAAAATCAGCTTAAATCTTTTTGCTTTGTATGCATATAGAATAAAATCAATTTACTATCCATTTCTGTAG